ACTTTTATGGATAAATGGTTATTTTTGCATTCATCGTATAGCCTACATTATTTTTACGTCTTGAAAATCCTTGTTTTCGTTGTTCCCTTATACGATTTGTCTTTGGAATGAGAACAAATGAAAATGAATGGTACAACTCAAAAAGATACCAGATAAGCGTATCAGTCACCCTGACATGTCTCAAGACACACGCTATCAGTCACCCTGACATGTCTCAAGACACACGCTATCAGTCACCCTGACATGTCTCAAGACACACGCTATCAGTCACCCTGACATGTCTCAAGACACACGCTATCAGTCACCCTGACATGTCTCAAGACACACGCTATCAGTCACCCTGACATGTCTCAAGACACACGCTATCAGTCACCCTGACATGTCTCAAGACACACGCTGATGACCAGGTGAGAATAAAACACGTATCTCAATTCTTGGCAACATCCTATTGCCGTTTGTACAACAAATAAAAATGTATTTGCTTTGTGATGGTGGCAGGAAATCACAGTACAGCTAGATTGATTACAGCTATCCACATGCGATTTTAGCAGAGATCGGAAATCAACGGGATACTTTTAAGCAGAGACACAAAACATTAAAACCGATGTGCCGTTTTCAACACTGCAAGGCGTCGCTTCCTGGTAGATTTCATTAAATCATTGCCCCAGTGGTGGCCAGAAAACAATGGCAGCAGTTATTAGTGGCATGAGAAATGGACGTGGTAGAAGAGGGGAGGAAGTTGATTAATTGGGTTGTGCTATCTTGGCTTTAGCCAGGGAGAAGGGGGGAAAAGGGAGGCGTGGGGAGCTCCCATAACTGGAGCCATTATTTATGTAATAATGGAAAATAAAGCGGGTAATGTCATGAGGAGAATAATGATGAGAAGAAAACCAAGGCGGTGGGGTCGTTCTAAATCAGAGGAAGGAGACTCAATTATTTTGAGGGACAAAAAAACTATAGCTGTAACGGTACTGTAACGGAAGCAATGAAAGATTGACAAATTTATTACAGCACGAAAACAACTGTTAGAGTTAGACTACACTACGATTTCCGAGCCTGGGGTGTTTTAGGGCATTGGAGGGGGTGCGAGGGAAAGGGATCTTAAGAACAGAGAGGACATTAACTTTTCACCTAAATTGTTGAGATAATTTTAAACATTTCTTCATTAACATTTTACTGTATGTAACATGTCACAAGTTTTATTTTCTCAGTTCTTCGGTTCTCTTTGCAATTCAGTAAATAAATTGGAAGTAGATTATTTTCTAATTTAAAATTTTTTAAAATTTATTATTGTTTTTGTGGGTGCGCTAGACTTGGTGGAACCAATTCATAGGGGGTACCAGAATAGTCGAATTCTTAAAGGGTGCAGATTAAGAAAATGATGGGAAGCACTGCACTACACCAATACTAACTTGTACAATGATCACACTCTTTCAATGCCTTACAAAATTATTGACTTCTTGATATAGATCATTGATGCAAGTCTTTCAAAATGTTCCCATTACAGGGTTGAATAAGAAACTCTTTAAATTCTAGAGCAGTGGTTCTCAACCTGTGGGTCATGACCCCTTTGGAAATAAAACAACCCTTCACACAGCCTAAGACCATCAGAGAACACATATTTATGAAGTAGCAACAAAAATAATCTTATGGTTGGGGTCACCACAAGATGAAGAACTGTAAGGGTCGCAGCACTGTTCTAGAGACTAGCCCAAGTAGAGCTTCTGTGACAGTTGTACACAAACCATGTATGTTTGAAGAACAAATCAACATTGATTTTTCAAAAGATAGATATTTATCTTAAAAATGAAATGACAGCTAATATAAGAACTAATATTAAAAAAATGATATTCACATTTTCTTTTGTAGTTAATACTTTTTTAAAAAAGTGTTATCATATATAAAACAATAAATTTAGTTCATAGAATAGTTTGAAGTACATGGCAAAGTGGTATATTATCACTTTGATATTAAATCTCCAGGAGAAATCTTTAATATAACATTTAAATTACCCATTCCAACAGCAAATAAATATCTGCTTCACTAAATCCCATTTCTAAACATTCTCTTTACACTTGCATTTAACATTGAAAATGTGATGATTTTTAAATAATTCACAAACTTAAGCAGGAAGTGAAAAAACTTGTTACAGCAACAAAAACACATTCAAACAACAGAACTTTTTAAAATCCATGAGTCTTAATTCAGTAAAGATGGTGGGTGTTGCGGGGAAAAGTATTTTGTAAGGCTAATTGTAGCACTTCATCATTCAAGGATTTATTTTCTTTTTGGTGCTATAACATGACAAATTAATAGGAGGTAATGACAGAATTTCAAACACAACATTCATTTTTTTTTTTTTTTTAAATAGATTTTTTTTAAAAGATGTTTTCCCCATTAAAGGGCATGTGGTTAGTTTTAGCTCACCTCAGGTGTGACCCCTTTTCTCAAATGGTGACCAAATATCAAAGTAACTGCAATAGATTCACGTAACTCTGCTGATAAGTTTTGCTCTTCCTGAAAAATGACAAAGCCACAATACAGCAAGTTTCTTCCCTCACACTGTTTCTTTTAGTATTTTACTCTAAGCTCTAGCCCTGTCCTCTATTCTGTTTGTTGTTTTTTTAAATAACATCAATCAGCAATAATTTACTTGTATACTAATTTGAGCATAATATTTTTTCCACTATCGTTACATAGCCTAAGGAAATATAATGATGTTGTGCACAAAGAAAAGATAAGGTGACATTTCTAAACATTTTTTTTTTTTTAAATTGCTTACTTGTTTTATTAGAGGAGGAAAATTAAGTAGTCTGAAGTTGTGGGTTCTCAAATTCTCAATCTCAAGCTGGGAACAATAAAAATTAAGCTACAAAACATACATAGATGTGCCTTTACAAATTTTAAAATATTGAAATTATTCTTCTGGTACAGTGTTGTTAAACCAGTGGGCTGTGACATACTGACTGCTCGTACAAGTGCAACACCTGTTTTTCATGTATGATATTAAGGATAAATAATGTTAACAATAAAATATAAAATGTTTTTTTGGGGCATTTGACCCATAAAGTATGGTCAAGTTCCTGGTGAGATAGCGCCTTTAAACTAATTCAAGTAATCTAAGAAACAAGTCATAATTTTCTTGGACCAAACACAAGCAATCATTTTCTTAATACTTGTATGTAGTGACAAAGACTTTCAGTAGTAATTAGTTTTAATGTGTTGCAAAATTTAAAAAACGGGGATTACAACTGCTGCTCTAGATATTTACAATGCAGTGCACACATAAATCCATCACTTAGTACTTTTCATGACGAATATTGAACATTTAACAAATGTAAAATTAAGACTTGTGTAAAAATTGAAGTAATACTTTATTCTTGTAAACTGGTTGTGTCATCATCATGACAGATAAACTTCTCCCCAGATCCGCATATGATTTTGCTTTAAATTATGTAGCACAAACCCAGAATCCAATCTTTGGTAAGCTGGGTGTTTCATTATTTGGACTGCAGTTATGTAACCCAGCAATGTACAGCTGCCAAGGGAAGGAACCATTTTGATGGTATTTTGAGTCAGATCAAAGGCAAGCATATCATAAAATAAATGATGCTCAAACTTTGATGCTCATGGTCAAATAACTGTTCACATTCAAGTTACTATTTAAATGAGAATTGCAATAAATTTAAAATTTCATCAATTATCCCACTATTTCTTTTATGTGGAATACCTCTGGTCAAAAATAGTCCAGATGATCAAGTTTCTATGGTAAGTCATAGTTATCTGTCAGTATCAATTCTAAATTTATTTTCATAAACTAATTCTTATAGGCACTTTTTCTTTGTCTTAATTGTTGTGGAAAAACTTATTTTATTTGGGGTAATAATTTTATTGTAACACAACTACTCTGACATGGCGTGGGAGCTTATTTCTTATGCTGTGGGTTATGTCAGTAGTATGGTTACTTATGTTATGTTGATATTTCAGGATGCCGACTAAGACTTCTTCATTCTTCCACTTATAATCCGGGCACGCAAATAAGAATACTGAATCCTGGTTAAACTTACAGTACTTTATTGAACACACTTTATATTGATAATATTAATAAATAATCCTTGCATGAATGTAATTTCACATATAAATCTATAGTATTCCATCATTAAGAAAGACACGTCCTCATACTACTGTCAACTCAGCTCAACTGTACTACATCTCAACTCTAACTCAACTCCGACTAACTCTGACTCCTTATCTCAGTCAACTCATACTTTTTTATCAGCAAAGCGTGGAAAACAACCGCTCTGACAAAAACATAATTTTACTCTCCAAAAACGTGGATTTCACATTTGCATCTCAAAATACATGGTCAACACAATTCACTGTTCACTCATGCTACCTCTCTGTTTTCATGTGAAAACATAGTCCGTTACATTTATTGATTTTGTGTACCAAAGAGACATGTTGTGGATAGAATGGTGTCTTGGAGTAGGCCCCCTTTGTTATGGCCACAGAAAACAATGATAGAGTCTAGAGCTCCATTGCTTTCTCCTTGCCCCCACAAGGCTGATCAAACATTTATATTAACTGCCAATAGGGTGCTGGGTGGCCGAGTGGTCTAAACTGATCGCTCCAAATAATGGTGGTCTGGGATTCCATCCCAGCCAAAGCCAACATCCCATCACCCCGGGTGGATGGGACCCTCAAAAAGAATTAATTAAAACTTCATTCCTATCACTACAAATGTGTTAACGATTCAATCCTCATGCCTAATCCAATCTACTCTGTCTGCCTCAGAAAAATGTAAAGGACTTTTATAAGCGTGTGCACCAATGCATAGTCCTACGTGACTGAGTTCGCTCATGATATAAAAGGAAAAATACCCTCATTCATTCGCTTAGACGTATCATTAATACAAGTCATGATATAGCAAAGCTACAGCATGTAATCTGACTGTGACAATAAATACCTGAAAGTCCATGATATGGCCCACACTTGAGATCCCCAGCTCTTTCAAATCTTTAGGTTGCATGCGCAATAATCTTCGTCCTGTGATGTGGTTCTGTAGAAACAGGTCACCATATTGGGCAAGGTCAGCTGTATGACCTTTATAAGGAATATTTTTAAAAATAAAGATAGTAAAAATGTGTGCTTATATCTGGAATGTTAATTTAAAAAGAGCAGCAAGGAAACTCAAACTATGAATTTCTAAAATATATATTTTTAAATTGAAAATGTTCATCTTGATATAAATGATCTCACAAATAATCCAGCACTTACATTTACTTACAACATACCCTGGTTATTTATTAGCTAATGAGTAATTGTTTATTAAATACCTGATATACTCAGCTGCATGACCCACTGATACTGAAGAAAAAAAAAAGACTCATTTAAATGTTGAGATGGCAACAAAATGAAATATGACAAACTGTAACAAAGGATGAAACTAAGTGAAAAATATACAAAGGTCATTATATTTAAAAGAATATATTTCTTGCTTCTTATAATTATATGCTTGGAATAAATGTTTCCCTTTAAACTAGGGCAGATTTTTAAAAAAACATAACAAACCTTAAATGAATTATAATTGATTGTTAAAAAGTGTTAACTCACCACATCAACATCCCTCCATGTGTTCACATCATAATCCTCTAGTTTCTGAGGAATGGAGTAAACTTAATTATTTTTCATAAATCACAACAAAATTTAACAGGCCTCTTTAAAAAATGCCACAAAAACACCAGAGATTAACGTAAGCATTCAACTTGATCAGTTTCTGCTATAGTAAATGTCAGGGGGGCGGTTTTCCAGTGAAAAAAAACAGCAAACAAAGAAAACAGCAGACACTAACATAAGCTTCCATGTCCCAGATATCATTAAGAATGTGTGAACCACTAATGGGAGACAAGTAATATACTTAATATATATTGTGCATATTATACAAAGTATTGGGACTTGAGACCATTATTAGATTGGATAAAAAGGAAAATAGATAATAATGGTGGAGTGAACAGAGACGTTGACATGTATCAGGATTATGTTAATAATATTTTCAAGTAAAAGAAGATTATATTATGGAAGCATAATAAGAATTGAAATTTGTGTGATGTGTTTCAAAGTATCTTCATATATCCGTGAAACATATTTATTATTGTGGATATTGTGAATGTCGATATTAAAATTAGTCATTGCTTGAACCACATCGTCTCCATTATTCTTTATAACTAAATATAACAGTGACTATTCACCATTATAAGTTTTTGTGCAGAAGGAAGTACTAATATATAACAAATATAACACGAAAACAAGATAAAAAAATCATTAAATAATTTCTGAATTCTATTGAATAACTCACCACAATTTTAAACTGCTTGACAAGGGATCGCTCTCGTTCCCTGAGTTTAAGTTCCCTATCCTTTAGCTCTTGCTCTCTATGACTGATATCTTTCTCTGCACGCTTCAGTCGTTCAAGAGTGGCTTGAATCTCTTTTCTAAGGAAATTGTTTTAAAAGCACTATGACATTAAATCTTTAAAAAAAAACATATTTTTAAATTTAATAGATAGAAACTACAGTTACCACTTTGAAATAAAATTATATGATCTCAGAATATAATTTTATATTTATAACAACCATACTAGCTTCTCAGTAACCGAACAACAAAATTAATGTCATTACTTCTTTACATAAAAGCTTTTTGGTCATTCAGTTGCTCAGGGGTGAGCATGATTTTTTTTTTAAATATTGATCTAAAGGCGGTGGCAAGATTGTATTAACTGTTTTGAATCTTGAATAAAAAGCATCTTCTTATTTTTTAATCAATTGTTTGAGTTGGTATTTATTCAAGGTCATAGACTTTCAACCTGACATTTGGTTAGATTCATAAAACCTAGAATGAAAGTTTTCTTTCTCAGGCTTTACCCATCAAATTATTTAGATACAATCTTCAGAGGCAACAGCATGAACAAGTGTGACCTTTCAATGGGACAAACTTTTGTGCTTTGAATATGAAAGTTTTTTTTTTATGGTTAGGATGTTCCTTGAGACTTAATAATTCTTAATTTTAAAACACTTTAAAAAATTGGATCAGATTAAAACAGAATCATAGACTGACCAAAATTATTTTAAGCAACAAGAAGTAAAAGATATGTTATAAATTAAGTAGGGTTAGAGTTCATAATGGTTCAAAGATATAAAGTTTTACAAAGCAGGACAAAGCTTTACTTATGACAGAACAAAACAGGAATATTTTGTAAGAAATCATTCATCAAAAACTACTGATAAAGTATACTCAATGGGCTCAGATAATTTTTTATCAGAGGAATGTGGTCGGAAAAAAATTTACAACAGAATTTACAAAATGAAGTGAAAACCAACAGTAGTAAGAAATCAAAAGTAAATCTGCTAAAAAATTTAGCAAACACATTTTTATGAATCTAAATGGTTTTAGTCAGGTATTTTATTATATTTATAACCATCTGTTAATTTAGTTTTTTTTGCTAAACATTTTTGTTTTTACTTATGATTTGCATACTTTAAAAAATTTATAATTTTATCAATAAAGATCACATCTTTTACATTAAAATAATAAATTAAAATTAACATATCTTTCATTACATGTTCCATGAATAACAAATAGAACAATAGATTATAATTTTTTTTAATTGACAAATTGCATTGTACTCACTTCCAAATGCCTTTGTGGTCCAAGAAGGAGTTAGTAAGGTCAGGCAAAAATTCTAGAGACAAAATATATTCTTTCAATTCTTTTAAAAAGCACATGATAAATTATGACAAGAAAATTTTGTATCTTTCTTTTCTTCAGAAATTTTGTATAATAAAATTTGTATGAATAACTAAGTAGATATGTTCCAGATGAGTTTTAGGGTATATCAGTGAGACCAGAATGAATTCATCAGTATCTAGCCACTTTTTTCCTTTAGAGATAAGATTAAATCATATCTTTAAAGTCATGATGGTATATTATCACACCCATTCATATGACATTAGGAAACTCAGTGAACGTGTTAAAAATTATAAATAAATAACAATTGCATTAACTTGGAATTTTTTAATTTTTTTTTTTTAAAGATATTTATTGCAGAGTATTTCCCCAATAAGTTTGTACAATTATTACCATCTTCAGACATAGTTTTTAACTTCTGTAGTATTTGAATGAAAGTTGGTCTTAGTTTGGGCTCAAGCTGCCAACATTGTTCCATCATTTTCTTGAAACTTGGTGGGCATGAACTTGGGATCATCAACCTCTGAAAGCATTAAATATTGAAAATGATCTTTAAATTCATGTAAAACATTAAGAAGTATAAAAATAATTTTTTTTAGAAGTTAAAATAAAACGTGTACAGAAGAGAAAAAATTTACTGACCTCCCCCTTTTCCACCACAAGCCAAGCCACTTGAAATCCTTCTATACCATTAAAGGGGACTTCTTTGGTAAGCAGCTCCCAAAGAACCTGGGAAAAGAACAATTTAAAAAAAAAAATTAAACTGATCAATGACAAAAATCCTGTCATTCATCAACCTTAACAATGATGAAGTTTTTCTAAAATGAATACTTGTAAGAGTTAAGTCTATGCCCATTTTATGTAGATCTAGTCATAATTCTCCATATTAATCCTTTAAGTTGCCATCCAAATGACTCAGCTGTTTTCAATCTAGTTTGGCTTTATATTTATTTTAGATGAGAGGCAAGTAGGGAAATGGCAGAAAAATCTGATCACAAATAACTATCAGAGGCCTTTTTCACTGAGAAACTTAAAGCTATCGAAAAAGTAGGAATTTCTTTAAAATTTGAAATATTTACATATCTGCAATCTTTAATTCAGACAAAGGATATATTTTAGTTGTTCAGCTTTAATAAAAAAATTTAAACTATATTTTCAGAGCTGGTTACACTGGAACTCCCATAATAGTACAATATATTATATAGTCTAAGGACAGTATGGAACAATCCCAAAATAATATAATAGTTTATTGTAATGGGAAATAAATAAACATGCAGTATAACGTATACAATAACTATTGGCAAAGCATGTCTAATAAAGGTTAATTCTCAAAGTAGATGACTGATGTTTATATATTTGTATACACTACATTTTTGCAAATAAAAAAGGGGCCCAACATTTTCCACTTTGAAATACGAAGATGTAGTGAGGCAGCGAAAATTGGAACACCCGCCAAAGTCACTCATGCAAAAGTGTGGGTGGCGTTTGGGCGAAGATGCTAAGCCGCCTTTCAGAAATTTTTGTATAAATTCAAAATGCAAGGATGCATTTTGCATATACCTGAAAATAGTTTTGTATCATTCTAACACTTAATCATAATGTTTGTGTAAAATTAGGTTCTACTTATCTAGCTATGTTTAGATAAATCCTTTTTATTTAGTCGTAAAAATTTCTTTGATAATTTATTACTTATTTCAATATATCTTTTTTAAATCAGTCCAAAACAGGGGCAAGCACATAAAATGGAACGTACCGTAAAATAAAAATGATCTATTTATATTTCAAATGTACATTTATGTCAAAAATTTAAATAATCGCTAATTGAATGAAGAAATAAGTTCATAAGTGATACATCCAGCAGGCCACGATAATTAATGTGGTGGGCCGCCGCCCTTGCATTAAGCCTAGGATCCTGATTTTATTTTCCGGTAACATACTATAATCTAATAACTAACGCAAGCTGTATTGGGAGAAGGTAAGAGGTAAGGCTGGTGTATTAAAATTGTACAGCTACTTTATGACTTCTAAAAATAGATTTCATGTGCCACTTACTAGATCTTATAAAGTGTCAAAATAAAATGGTACTTTGCAGAGCAGATGAGAATGCATATTTTTAAAATCCGTAGTTTTCTCCATTTTCACAATCAGCCAAAGAATGAAATAATTATGTAATACAATTACATTATACAGCATCGAAGCAAACAAAAGCAAATTTTTGTCACTAGGAAGAATACGTTAAATAGTATTGTTGCTGTATTTAGAGAGTTCATTGTGAAAACCCAAAGCAATAATATGACAATCATTACAAAACATGGTGGTGTTATTTAATAGCCTTTAAAAATATTTAGATACCTCCCAATCCCTCCCATGCACACTCTTACGCTTCCAAGGGACCAACACCCCCTTTCAGATTGTACATAATATAATTATGGATGGTTCCCAGCCAATCCTTTTTCTCTCTCCATTAACAGCTGGGTGTAGAAAGGAGCTAAAACTTACAAACAAAAGGATTTTAAAAATTCATTTAAGTAGTTAAACCATGGAATATATTTTTAATATATAGCCCGTCTCGTAAAATCATAGTTGGTATCAGTACAATCGTAAAAGACATGACGATTTCGTTAATTGTATGCCAAAAATCTAAAGAGTAAACAGGTCTGTATTTTAATGGGCATGTCAACTTTATTTTACTAACCACTCCATAGGACCATGTATCACACGCTTCTGAAACTGGAAAACTTTGAATAACCTGAGAAACAAGAAAATATTCATGACAACAGAATATTAAAAGTAAATACATGCAAAGACATTGTAAAAAAATCCTTTTAACAGTAATTAAAATTATAAAACAATGACTGACAATGCTTAGCTACAATAAAATTTATGTAAAGAAATAATCAATATCATTATAATGTAAAATTAAAATCCTAAGTTATTCCTTAAATGAAAAACATGTTAAATTTGTACAAAGCTAAATCCCAAGTCAAGTTTAAAAATATTAATGAGTTAATGATTTCCAGTTGTCGTATACTGCATTTCAAGTACAATATATGTTTGAATAACATTTGCAATCCTTACCTCAGGTGCCATCCAAGGAAATGTGCCAGCCAAAGACATTTTTGTAGTGCTTCCAATAAACCTAGAGGCCCCAAAGTCACATAGCTGGATGAAAATATTTTTTTACTGAATTTAATGAAATACTTCCAATTAGGTAAACTATTTTACTCTAAATGACTTTTTAGTTGATCAAATTTTTTTTCAATTTTATATGTTATAGACAGTCATACTGAATTCATTTAAATAAAAGAAGTTAATTTTGTTTATTTATGAATTATGTTTAATTTCATTGTATTTCACACTTTCAAGAGATTTAGTCAAAATGATTCATTATATTATACATTAGTAAATTATAAAAATTACGTTAACAGTTCAACTTTAATCAAGTTGATGACTTAAGTAATGTTTCATTTATCTTATCAGTTCTCATCTAGTAAAATTAAAAAATTCATTCAGTATTTAAAAGTACCTTGCATGTCCAGTCCTCGGATATAACAACTGTAGCAAAAAAAAGTACAACAGAATGGTTTCACCAGCATGACATATTTCATCCAAATAATGAAAATAATCTCAGGTAATAGGTTATCATTAAATGTTGATATTATAGAATAAGAATTATCATTATGCCTCTTTTTTTTTTAGTTGTGCAAATATGTTTTTAAATTAAGGGAAAGAGAAAACGTTATTTCTTAATAGTATACTGAAATGAGTATGTTTAAACAGTTCTTGCTGTATGTACACAGCTGTCTTTTCAGTTAACCATAAGTTTAGTGCAGCTAGTGTACTCACTGTTTTTAGATTTTAAGTCTCTGTGTATGACTTTGACAGGAGCCTCCCAGTGGAGATAATTCATACCTAAACAATAAAGAAAAATAAATGTACAGATGAAATAAAGTTTACTGTCCGAAGTATACATTATGTATCAAAGGTCAAAGAAAAAAAGGTATGAAAGAAATCAAAACAATTTAAGACGAAATCTTCATAATAATTTATTCCTTCGCTGCAGTGTGAAGATAAACCACAGTCAGGGCAGAGCCTATGCCGGTCATTTTCCCTGTGCCAAAGAAAATCTTGTTTTGATAGATTTTTATCAAATAAGCATATAGATGCTGTATACAAAAGGAATATATTTTTCTATAAAGAATAGTATATTTGAGAGGCGAAACCATTATCTGCTTTAAAATACAAATTCTGAAACACTATTTTAAAGTAACTTACATCAGTTATTTCATGTCTATTTAAATTTGAAAATGTGATATCAATCTCAGATTTTAGTTATTTAAATTGTGTTAGCTGCGCTAATTAACTTGTTCTGTCACTTTTAGATATATTTTGTTTTACCTCTTGCTATTTCAATGGCCCATTTGACAATCTGTCGAAAATCTAGGGCATTATCAGGGTTGTGCATATAGGAATAGAGTGACCCATTCGAGGCATATTCTAAAAAATAAATATAGCATTCCTTGCATTAAAAGTTGTTAACATAAATTATTTAAAAGTTCAAAATTACATTTTTATCCTTGTTAAATGAAGATAAGTTTGTAACAATAATCATGAAGTGATTTTTTTTCTTGATATTATTTACTTATAATAGGTTGTAAGGTGTTTAAAACAAAAATATCTTAAGTTAAAAACTTTTAACTTTCATTTTATAACCATGTCTCCCTTGGGAGAAATATAAATTTACAAAGAATTGTTTATATTATTCTTCAATTCAACCTGTAACTAAGCAATAATTTGGGTCTTGTATTACTGCTCCATAAAATTTGATGACATTTCGATGACTCAGAGAACTTAAAACTTGTGCCTGTACAAATATAATATATAATATTATAGTTTAGCAAACAATAGAAAAAAGTTTCATATTTAAGTTTTAAATTTAATAGTGTAAAAAAAATTAACTGTTGTAAGATTTATAAAGACTGTTTAAAGCAAGGGTCTCAAACTCAAATCATCCAGGGGGCCGCAGGAGGTAGAGTCTGAGTGAGACGGGGGCCGCATCAAGTTAAAAAAAAAGCGATCACAAATTCAATAAAGTACAACTGCTCAACCTTTATTAATAACAAAATAAAAACATTAAGTGTTCTCAAGAACTAGGCTTCACTTCCTTCCTCCTACTCCTTGTTGCCAGAAATCTGACAGCGCTTCTTCTTACACAGCTGAGCAACATTTGGCTTGAGAGAGGAAGCAACTGAGACCCTCAGTACAGCTTAAAGAGGCTAATCAATAAGTTTGGCCCTGAACTTTGACTTGTTAAATTTCATACTGGGAAAAGAGCTTTTCACACAGATAGGTACTCCCAAAAAGGCATATGATCTGCTTGAACAACCTGGAAACCTCAGTGAAGGTGGAGGGCAATGCTCTCATAAATTGTCCTTGCTTTTCTGTTTCTCCATTCAGTCCCTGATGGCACTGAAGATCAATCAGCTCCATTTGAAGTGCAAGTGGGGGTAGGAGGTGGGGCGCATCTTCCACTATAAAGGAGAAAGGCTCAGCAGAAGGTTGAAAAATGACTCTTTGTGTTTTAAAGTCTAAAAACATGTGATCAAATTCTTCCTGTAGCCGTGCAATGTCATCAATATACTCACTACTGAATGGTGTTCCCGAATCCATGAGTACTTTTCATGTTGAGAAACAGCAGAGGTTTCTCCAAGAACTATAACACAAGTTTTGTGTCGAATGCCCTGACATTTTCATAGGCAACACTGACAAGTCTTTTCTTGTTGACTTTACACAGGAACTGAATGTACTCAACAAGAAGTTACAAGTCCATGAATCATTTGGGATCACTTAGTACAGGAAAAACCACCTCATCCTTCTTCATGAAGGCTTAAAATGCTAAAATGTGTTCAAACAGTAGGTAGGACAGGCAATACTAATGAATTATTAATGTGAAGGAAGATGCTATTGTAGGGAGAATGAATTTTGATTTTTTTATCGTAGTAAAGGACTTTTTGACTAACCCCATTTTGAAATGGAACCCAGCTCATATGCTTGGAATTTCCTTAACTCGTTAACAGGAGAGGCAATTTTAATAGGGATTCTTTGATACTGTGTCAGATTGCTACGATTTACACAATTATGGTTGTGCATTATTCACTGACATGTTAAAATTTTCTAAAAACCGCACTTTGGCCATGTTTGTCTCATAAAATGCTACAAAATAAATACTTTTAGTTCAGTTTTGAAACAGTTTTTACCATTATAATCAACGTCCAAAGCTATACAAATATAATAAAAATCAGAATTAGACTAGTCTGTGAGATTAGATTGAAACCGTCACAGAGGGTCACGTTATAGATATGAGAATGGGGAAAAATCACGGACCCATTGCACTAAACTTTGCTGTCATGTGGCGGTCTGCAAAATATCGTCTTGCAGGCCGCAAATTTCACGCGGGCAGCGAGTTTAAAACCCCTGGTTTAAAGGGTCAAAATATATTAAGCAGCAACAAAATTACCAAAAAGTTCTAGACTGGTAAAAAATATAAGTCAGATTTAAAATTTAATTCACTTGCCTCTTTTTCTAAAACAAGTAACCTTTTCACAGCGACAATCATGTTCTGGGATCGCCATAATGCTCTATAGACACTTCCAAATGTCCCACCTCCACAACGCTCATAGAAACATAAATCATCAAAAGATATTTCCAAAAGTGCTCCTGTTGCTCCTACTCTTGTTCCATCCATGACAAAAGACAGGACTTAACCTTGAAAATTAAATTTAAAAAAAGAATCTCAGTGGTGGTAATGAAGATGAAATTTATTAAATGGATACAATTAATAATAAATATTGAAGTATATAGTGAATATGCATGAGAAAAATAAAGTAAAACTTTTGGGAATAGTCTGCAAAGCACAGACATTTGACTGGGAATTGAAACTCGCATGATAAGCTCTCTACCACTCAACAGAGTACTTTGCATTTTATATAATTTTACTATAATTTTTCATATTATGAATTAAATGATGAGTTAAATAAAAATGAACTTTTAATTACGGTATTTATCGGCATAAAACATGCACTTTTTCTCCCTGAAAATAGGGGGCAAATGATGTGTGGTGTTATACGCCGATGTAATGTTAAGTTTTTTTTCCCTGAAATTTCCTTCTTAAAATGAGGTGCGTGTTATACGCCGGTGCATGTTATACGCCGATAAATACGGTAACTATCAAGGCAAGGCTGAAAATCAAGCAACAATCTGTTCAGTACTTGGCAACAACCTGTTCAATACTTGGCAGTAAACTGTTCTGCAGTTATTAATTATAGAAAAAACATCAATGTATATGTATATTTTTAAACACTTTTATTATTTTTATATTTTCAACAAGTTTTGAAATTCATATCTATATGGACTTCCTAGAATCTTGCCCCAATCCTTTAATTAAGCCTATAATTATTTCTCATGATTTGTGTGTCTTTGGCTTCATGAGAGAGGACCTTTTCAAAAACTGAAACTTTTATATACCGTAATTATTTGCCATTGAGTGGGGTAACACCATGAGTTTACCACACCAGGTGATACCAACCCTAGTAACGCTGCTTACTACTCCTAGCAATGGTGAATTTACGTTTTACATCTCGCTCTAAATAAGTGAACTCCCCTTTGTTTAGTTGGGGATTTTTACTAGAGTTAACTATTCTCTTTTTTTAATATTAATACACTGATAAAATGTTTTTGATTTATGTTTTTTTTTTGTATTTAATATTTCATAATGAGACTATTTTGCAGATGTGACCCAATTCATTTTGAAAAATTGACTTGATTTTAAGAATATCTTTTGGATTTTATTTTTGCTGGAACCTGAATTAAAGTGTTATTGATGAAACTGTACATTTAATTTTCCTTATTTTGAACATTTTAAAAATAACGTTAATCTTATTATTAAAATTTACAATTTTCTCACTACAGTGTGTAACTGTAGCACACAAACACACGGCTTAAGGGTCCACATTAGATCATAGATTTTAGGTTTGAAGATTTCCGCTTGAGTTAGGGACACTGATTTTTGTGCTAGGGACATTTAGCATTCAGGTAGGGTACAGTGATAGATTTCAGGTTTGAAGGTTTTTAGCAGCATTTTAACAAATTAAATTTTAAATCTTTTTTGGCTAATTTCTTTCTTTTTCCTTCTTAAATTTGTTGTTTTCTTTTCAATTTTTTAAAGTTAATTATTGATGTTCTTTAATATGATTTTTACCTAACAGAGGCTTAAAAAAATGCCCATTCTTAAAAAAAGTACCCATCCTCATCATTTTCCTTATTTTCATTTGTATAAGTCTCCGAAGTTTCATGACCCTCTAGTCGGAAACTTCACACTGCCACTGTCACACGGATCCTACCTCTACGCGGTGTGGGAGATTAGTAGGGAGGAAACTCCTGAAACCAAAGGATCCATGCAAAACGCATGACTTCCAATGCAACAAAAGTTGCGCGCTAACATGATTACATGTCGCCGATAATGGATATGAGGCTTAGGTGTTTTAAAACCCTCGCTGGGGATTAAAAACATGCGGCCTTGAGAAAGCCGCTCCTAGGTGACCGTTTCGTCCCGACACAGTCCCGTCCGAACTACTCTCTGAACGGTGGAGAGAGGTAACAAAACACCTTTCCCCGAAGAGGAAGCAAAGCTGTTTTGACCCATTTCCGTACAACTCCCAGGAACGGTGGGAGAAAGTTAAGCCCGAGACTACTCCCGGAGAGGAAGCGAAACCGTATCACACCAAGGAAAGTACGGCTTCCTGGACAGTGGGGTGAGGTAACGCAACACCATCCCCGGAGAGGAAGCAAAGCCGTTTCAAACCAACGTCCAGACCGCATGACTCATTGGGCAAGGGGGGTGGTAACGCAAAACCGTCCCTTAAATGAGTGGAAGCAAACTGCCCAACCCCCCACTCAAGACCGTGTTGCATGGCCAGAGTCCTTAGGGACTACTGGGCCATGTTTCATCGGGGTCCTAAGAGAGTGATCTCGACCCCAAAAGAGTATTGAACATTTGTGTAAGTAAGTAGCTAAAAGACAATCCCATCAGTTTTCCATTCCCATTTGAGGCCCTGTGTTTAGCAGTACATTTTTTTTTTTTTCACTGTAGCCAACTTTGTCTACTGTCAAGCCAACAAAGTTGGCGGATGTGTCAAAAAAAGTAGTGCAAAAGAACTGTAAAACATGATGAACAGTCAAAAGTAAAAATTACTCTAGCAATATAACTTAATTCAGTTCACCACAGGGCCTGTGATGTTTTCCGCAGCATATAGGCTATAGGTCATAGAGGTTCCCCAGGTCAATTACTGGCCATAGTTCTGTGTTCAAAATATTTTCATTTTTACCTATGTATCTATTCGATAACAAAAAATTATTTTTTATTTTGTCTTAATAGTTGGGGGAGGGGGTCAGAAAATTATGTTGAGATTTCCAGTGAAATGGTGGCAGCTAAAAATAAATTATTAAATAACATGTAATTATGGGTGTAATTCTTTTTTCAACCAATCAAAAGACAGCACTTTTAACAATGTGGTACCCGGTAATCTTTTTCAGTAGGGTCAAAACCCAGGTTAGGGATAATTTTAGTTTAGGGTTCAGGTTAGGTTTAGGGAAAGATTTAGGGATCAGGTTAGGTTTAGGAATACATTTAGGACATAAGTTCGCGGGTCGCGGCAACCAAAGTAAAAAAATGTGGTGCTATGATAGATTTAAGGTTCAGGTTATGTTGTGGGATACATTTAGTTTAGGCTTAGGACATAAGTAAGGACATAAGCTTAGAACAACCAAAGTAAAAAAACGGGGTGCTATATCTTCACATTTACCCAAGAAAGTTTTAGAAGTTTAAGGACTTAATAAATTTTAATTCATTTGACTTCAGTCACTTCACTTGGACGTCTCAGATTTAAAATTGCTGCATTAATGCATTGCTTGGCTTGACTAATTAACTAATAATAATAAGGGCTGATATTAAATTAAGGAGGGATGCCACAGCTTCTTTTTTGTATTTATTATAGTTGCAGTGAAATAGGGTTTAGGTTAGGTTGAGGGATCGATTTAGGGTTCAGGTTAGGCATAGGGATCGATTTAGGGTTCAGGTTAGGCATAGGGATCGATTTAGGGATACATTCGTGAAATTCGATAAAAATTTATTAAAAATGTGGCATTCGTCCTTAAAATTATTTACCATAATAATAATATAATAATAAGTAGTAGTAGTAGTAAGTAGTAATAAGTATTAAGTAAGTATAAGTATAAAGTTATAAGTTAAAAAGTAAGCCTTACTTAGCGTTAATACATGTTAGAAGTTTTAAATAAAACTCAATGCAAAAATTAATGTGTTATTTTGCCATCTGATTTTTTTTATATACAGCGACGATAGTCTTTATTGTTACTGATACTCAAGTATAGTCTTAATTAATGTTGCCGAATGAGAAAGGCAAAATACTGATTACCAACTGCATGCTTTCCAAAACATCCGTTTGGGAGATAACCCAAATCTCAAACGTAAATAGGTCAAACCGTCAAAGTTCATGAGGATTAGCCTAAAACTAAAAATAATCAATTGTTAAAAGCGTATGGATCCGCCTTCCTAATTTGTATGTGTTTGAACCTAACCAATTAATTTTTTCATTTAAATATGTTTTTGCAATTTTCACAAAATTATCATAATTAATGGCTTAAGTCCTCCGATGATAAAGAAGAGCACTCTACATTTTCATCAAATCCGGTAACCTTAAAATCGTTACTATATTATTGGCAACGGAGATAAAACTGTACTATCTATATTTCTATTAATGGTTAACGGAAATTTGTTTGAAAGAAATTAAATTAAAGGGAAATTGATCGATGGAAGTTTGGTCGACCGGAAATTTGATCGAACGGAAGTTTGGGTGAACGAAAATTTTACCGAATGGAAGTTTGGTCGGACGGAAATTTGATCGAACGGACATATTATCGAATGGAAGATTGATCGAACGGGAGTTTGGTCGATAAGAAATTTGATTAAACGGAAATGTGGTCGATTTTTTTTTTTTTTTTATAAATTTTAAATAAAGGTTACTAATGAGTTCATTGTGATGGTGGACCTCTCATACATCAACTCAAGATAGAATGGCGGAGGTACATATTAACTGTGATGTTGGCCCTTTCACACACCAAATCAAAGTAAAATGGCAGAGGTACACATTTACTGTGATGGTGGACCTCTCACACACCAAATCAAGGTAGAATGGCGGAGGTACACATTCACTTTAATGGTGGTCCTCTCATACACCAAAACAAAGTAAAATGGTGTAGGTACACATTCACTGTAATGGTGGACCTCTCACACACCAAATCAAGGTAGAATGGCGGATATACATATTCACTGTAATGGTGGTCCTCTCATACACCAAATCAAAGTAAAATGGCGGAGGTGCACATTCACTGTGATGGTGGACCTCTCACACACCAAATCAAGGTAGAATGACGGATATACATATTCACTGTAATGGTGGTCCTCTCATACACCAAATCAAAGTAAAATGGCGGAGGTGCACATTCACTGTGATGGTGGACCTCTCAAAAATCAAAGTAGAATGGCGGAGGTACACATTCACTGTAATGGTGGTCCTCTCTACACCAAATCAAGGTCGAATGGCGTAGGTACACATTCACTGTGATGGTGGACCTCCCTTACACCAAATCAAGGTAGAATGAACAGCTATA